CATGCACAGTTCGGTGACATTGACTACGCTCTTCCAATTGTGCTGCTATTCTCACTTTAGATGAAGGCTTACAGAACAAAATAGTTTCTCATTTACCAGTTAGTACACATGTTGCCCTATGACAGTGGTTAACAACCAGTTGTGAGGATTTTTTATGTTGAGGTGTAATCCATACTGAAGGCTGTGGTCTTTGATCTCCATCAGTAACTGTTTCAAGTCCTCTTCACTTTGAGCAAACAAGGTTGTATCATCTGCATAACACAGGTTGTTAATGAGTCTTCCTCCAATTCTGATGCAGCGTTCCTCTTTATACAGTCCAGCTTCTCGTTTCTTGGATTATCTGCTCAGCATACAGATTGAATACGTATGGTGAAAGGATACAACCCTCATGCATACCTTTTGTGACTTTAAACCACGTAGTATCCTCTTGTTCTGTTCATATGACTGCCTCTTGGTCTATGTACAGGTTCCTCAGGAGCGCAATTAAGTGTTCTGGAATTCCCATTATTCACAACGTTATCCACAATTTCTTATGATCCACACGGTCGAATGTCTTTGCATAGTCAATATAACACAGGTAAACACCTTTCTGGTATTCTCTGCTTTCAGCCAGGATCCGTCTGATATTAGCAATGATATCTCTGGTTCCACATTCTAGTCTGAATGCGGCTTGAATTTATGGCAGTTTCCTGTCAATACACTGCTGCAACTGCTTTTGAATGATCTTCAGCAAAATTTTATTTGTGATATTAATAGTATTGTTCAATAATTTCTGCATTCGGTTGGATCACCTTTCTTGGTAATAGGCATAAATATCTCTTCCAGTCAGCTGGCCAGGTAGCATTTCTTCACATAGTAAGTGAGCGCTTCCAGTGCTACATCTGTTTGTTGAAACATCTCAAGTGGTATTCCATCAATTCCCAGAGCCTTGTTTTCTGCCAACACCTTCAGTGCAGCCTGGACCTCTTCCTTAAGTACTAACAGTTCCTGATCATATATGCTACCTCCTGAAATGGTTGAACGTCCATCAATTCTTTTTGGTATAGTCACTGTGTATTCCTTCCATCTGTTTTTGATGCTTCCTGTATCACTTAATATTTTCCCCATAGAATCCTTCAATATTGCAACTCATTTGAATTTTTTCTTCAGTTCTTTCCGCTTGAGAAATGTCAAGCATGTTTTTCCCTTTTGGTTTTCTATCTCCAGGTCTTTGCACATGTCATTATAATACTTTATTTTGTCTTCTTGAGCTGCCCTTTGAAATCGTCTGTTCAGCTCTTTTAGTTCATCATTTCTTCCTTTCGTTTTAGCTACTCAATATTTAAGAGCAAGTTTCAGTTTCTTCTGACATCCATCTTGGTCTTTTCTTTCTTTCCTGTCTTTAATGACCTCTTGTTTTCTTCATGTCTGATGTCCCTCCACAACTTGTCTGGTCTTCGGTCATTAACGTTCAACGTGCCAAATCTATTTTTGAGATGGTCTCTAAATTCAGGTGGGATATACTCCAGGTTGTACTTTGGCTCTCCTGGACTTATTCTAATTTTCTTTAGTTTCAACTTGAACCTGCACAG